CGGGGAGCCAGGGGCTGGTCCCCTGGGAGGGCAGCACCCCCCCGCCACCCCCCCGGCCCCGGCTGAGACGAAACGGGACGAGTCGGCCACACGGGGCGGGGAGGGGAGACGCGGGCAACACGGTGGGAAAGACACGCTGCAACAGGGTGGGGTGAAACAGAGACATTTATATCGCAATACGCACTAACAGAGCGAGCGCTACCAGCCGACGCTGCGTTTTGGCCAAAGCGGAATCACAACGGTTTTGTCCCGGGGAGGTTTGGAGTGGGCAGGGCAGGGCAGAGGGGCAGCGCCGAGGGAGCCCGCGGCCTCGTTTCACGCCGGTGTGGGCTCTCCTCCTCCCAGCTCCCATCCTGCCACCCCCGGCAGGTTACCAGCGACTTTCTGTCCTTTCACATCTTTTGGTTTGTTTTTCTCTCTGCTGCGATGAAGACGAAGCTGGCAACCCTCCCGCAGAGCTCACACCGTGACAACGCCAGGGTTCCCAGCCTCAGGGGCCGTCGGTCACCCGGAGCAGGAGCTGCAGCTTGTGACGGGGCGCGGGGACGTTGGTACCGGGTCCCCCAAAGCCCAGCAGCGGGAGCAGGGCAGGTCCCTGCGAGGCAGCGACAAGCGGAGCTCAAGCCAGAGCGGGGAGGAAGCCGTCCTCGCTTTCTTGACGCGGTGCCAGCAGTACCAGCGGCGGTTACGGGGGCAGAGGGGGGGCCGTGAGCGCTGGACTGAGCGGAGCGTGGAGCCTTAGCAAGCCAAGCCTAAGCAGAGCCATCCTCAGGCACGTCGCAGGTGGCTCAGGAGCCTGCCAAAGCTCTGGGCCCGCCCGGCCCCCGCCAAGAGGGGCTGACTCACGGCTGCTGCTGACTTGAGAAGCCGGGGCCTTTCGCTGGAGCAGACGTTCCTGGTCAGTAGCTCTTCAGCCAAACGCAGCGGGAGCGAAGCAGCGATGGGGTTCAACCAGCGATGGGGTTCAACCAGCGCCTCGAAAGCTGACAGGGAGCTGAGCCCAGTTCACCCCGTCTCCTTCAGGGGTGTGTGGGGTGGGGGCAAGTCCTTTCCCCAGGAATCCTCCGCCACAGCGTTGCGGTTTTCCACTCTCCCTTGCCCCAACTTCTCCGGCGAGCGGCTGGTGGGCAGCGCAGCGGCCTCGCCTCGGCCCGTCCCGCCGGGCAGTGCAGGCCCTGGTCGGGGCAGTGGGGCCGGAGCTCGCCTCTACCGCCACGTCCTGCTCTGCTGCCGCAAGCGGAACGCTTCATCTTTCCTTCATCTGTGTGTAGATCACATATACTGGAAACGAAACACACACTACGCATGCAATCCAGGCAGAAATCCTGCTACGATCAAATCTACGGGGAGAGGGGAATGTAGTGGGACAATTAACGAGTTCCTTACTGCTAGGTTATAGACTGCGTTAAACACCAGCACCCTTCGTGTAAAAGGGCAGACAGACTATGTACAGCGCCTACGTACGCCACTGCAGCGGGGCACAGCAAGCAACCCGGAGGCCTGAGGCCCCGCGCTGGGAACACGGTGGGAAGTGCCCACTGCGAAGCGACCCGTTCCTCCACGATTTACGCGCCGGGATGAGCGTGCGGGACCATGGACCCCGCGCACGTGGGAGGAAGCGCCGAGGCCCGCGGGAGCTCCGGCGGCGGCGGGTAAGCCGAGGAGGAACAGGCTTTGGGTCAGATGAGCTGCGAGTAGTTAGCTATTCGTCTAGGGCTCTGCCTTCCGGGTCCAAACCAGTTTCTTTCTGAAAAAGAGAAACCTTTCGCTTTTAAACGAAAGGCTGTTTGCCAATGATCGTTAGTAGACTACAACCAGCCCTCGTAACAGAAAACCCAAACCAAAATCCCCGCTAGCCGCAGCCCTGCCCCTCCAGTCCCTCGGCTCAAGGCGAGGAGCAGCGTCCAGGGCAGGAAAAGCTACACCTTGGCTTCAGTGTTTACTGTTAGAGGCTGTAGTTGCTCAAATAAAAATGTTTATACATGTAAAACAGAAGCAATAAAGAAATATACACCTCGGAATCTGTAAAGCTTCAGAGTGATTGAGGCCTTGTGGACAGTGGCTACTCATATGGGCTTCCTTTAGGAAAAAAAGGCTGTAACAGTCATACTTAAAAAAAAAAAGAAAAAAAGAACAACGGACAGCATTACAAAGGGCCCTGCAGCATCCTGGAGGAATGAAATGACGGCTCTAGAGTAGCGAGGAAGTGAGTGCCTTGCGCGGTGTTTACTGGATAATTAAAATCCTACACTGAGCAACTGTTAAAAGCCAGCGACACCACGGCGAGACGGGAGCAGAGAACAGGACGGCCGGCAGCACCGGGACGAGGCTGCCCCCGGGGAAAGCTACGTGGGGGGAAGGTGCCCCGTGGGGGGAAGGTGCCCGGCTACAGGCACGTGAAATAAGCACAAGCACAAGCACCTGGGAGTGTTACACGAGTTCGCTTAACCGTTTGTTTCTTTGCATTTCTGAATTCCAGTTTCACGCCGCTTCGGCGAGGAGTGAGGAAGCAACACGCGTCACTTCAAACCCCCCCCCAGGGGAAAAAAAAAAAACAAACAACAACCAACCAACCAACGTTAAAAGATGGGACCGAGTTTGGAAAAATGCATCTGTTCTGGCTTTTGCAAGTGGAATGTGATTCTTGTTCACAGGCTACTACACAGAGCACAGTCCCCACAGCCAGGACCGGCGAGCAGGAGCTGTGCGCGGGCCGTCAGAGACGGGCTACGAGGGTTCTAGGACAACACAGAGCAACAAGAGGTGAGGGGGGCACAGAGCGACAGTCCTGTTCTCGGGTTAAATGAGGAATGGTTTAAAAGTAAAACTCTTCTGCAGCTAATCTCCTCCTGCAATAAAACCAACCAAGCCGGCCCTCGTATGTACAAGACCAGTTAACCATGAGCCTTCCCCCTCCAAACACTAGGTACGAACAGCCGGTAACATTCTACAATGGAAAGTGCTTTAAGAAAGAAGGATTCTGTAGTGCCAGTGACAGAACGGATCTGATGGGCTGGGTGATGCTCTGCACGCTGGCGGCAGCTGCTCAGGCCAGGGCAGCTCGTTTCTCCTCCGGGGTCTCCTCCAGCAGCTGCATGATCAGTTCGTGGAGGGGTTTGCAGATCTTGGCGTAGCCCCCTCCCGTCAGGTGCAGGAAATCGAACATGTCGTGGTAGGAGATGGTGCCGTCCGAGTGCACGAAGCCGACGTCCACGTCCAGCAGCTGGACGTTGGGCAGTTTGGGGAGCGAGGCTTTTAGCAGATGGTTCACCTTGGCGTTCTTCTGCCGCAGCGGGTTTGGCTTCTCTCCACGAGGTAGCAGGCCCTGGCACAGGGAGGAGCAAGAAAAGAGCTTCAGGCGACTGACGGCACCCCGGGGCCTGCTCTCCCCTCCACCCCAGGCTGCCTTTCCAAGGGCGACTCGTCCCTTGAACCAGACTCTGTCCACTCAGACCTAATTGGAAATGCAGCTGAAGGAGCCAGATGAGCTGGAAGCACAACCAGCAGGGCACCTGCTTTGTTTTTTCAAAAAAAAAATAGATCCACTTGTGGTCTTTCTAGAAGCTTTCAGCAGCGTCCTGAATGCCAGCACCCAGCTTCTCGGTCAGAGAGGCACCAGCTAAGCTGCCAGGACCAGGATTTCCAATCCCTGATCTGCTCCGGGCACAGTTTTTCCCCCCAACACGACTTTTCCTCCCGCCCTGCTGAGCGGGACAGGGATACCACTACCGGGAACGGCCGTACCCACCCAGGGGGACGCAGGGGTGGCTGGTGCAGAGCCAAGCGGAAGAGCAGAGGCAGGCACGGCGCAGGAGATAAGCCCAGCAGCTGCCCTCCCCCGTAAGCCCAGGTCACTCCCAGCACCGCGGGGGCCCGGTGCAGAGCGACCCGGGTGCCTTCAGGGGACGTACCAGTACAATCACTTTGGCCTGTGGCTGCTGGGTGTTTATCAGGCGCACGATAGCCTCGATTCCACCTGCTACTTCTTCTGCTGTGTTTTCATGGTTATTTGTTCCAACCCAAACCACAATGACCTACGAGGAGAAAAAAAGTTTGCAGCTTTTGCAGAACATACTGTGAGAGGCTTGCTGACCCTGAAAGCCCGGGGTAAACATCATCTGCAACCAGCGAGCTACAGAGCCAGGCTTAAGGCTAAACTCGGACTGAGAGAGGGCTTCAGCAGGCAGCCAGGACGATTCCTGTAGAGCACCGCACGAGCTCCTCTTCTGGCCCCAGAACAGATGAAGAACTGGTACTACTGGAGCTTCCCTGGACAGCCCGAGAGATGTCCGAGCCCATTCCAGCCCACAGACCCACAGCAGCCCGCAGCGGCCGAAGAGAGGGCAGCGCAGGTTTTTACAGCATAGTCCCAGCACCGCAGGGGCGGGGGGAACCGTGCAGCTCCGCTTTTTATCTTGAAAGATTGTGAACTGCTAAATAGCGGGCAGGAAGGGGAGTGACACTGCCTCCCCCCCCCCGGGGTACGCCCCGCCTGGCAGCAGCCTGCTGCGCCGCCCGCCCCAACCAGGGCAGACACCGGCCCCAGGACTGCAGCCCGGAACGCTGACCTTCACCACCCCCTTCACCGCCCCTTCCAGGGGCCAAGGATGCATCGCAGGCCGGAGAGACACCCTGCCACTCCAAGCCACGCCTAGCTAAGCTGAACCGCAGGCCTGATCAACACTGTCCCTAGGGGTAGAAGGCCGCCTCTACTTCCGGACCACACTGATTTGTGTATTCAGCAGCGTAGGAGACAGAGCCCCATTCCCAAACGTGGCAGGTTTAGCCAAATTCATGTCAGCACAGCACCAACAAAAAGTTCTGTGCAGAGTAACAGCTCAGCTCTGCACTGCCCAAGCACTGAAGCCTCTCCTAAGCCAGCACAGGGCTGACTGGTTCGGTTTTCTGCTTATACCTTCGGTTTAATGTTCTCCAGTTCACCGTTCTTCAGTCTCCATAGAACGTGTCCCGTGGTGTCTCCACCAATCCCAAAATTCAACGCATGAAGGGGTGAGAAGAGCTCTCGCCATATCTGCAATAAGAAACAGAGCGGGCAGTTCAGAGCAGCGTCCCCACTGTGACAGGAAGATCCTACACAGACAGTGATGTCTTCAAGGATCCTGAAAGCAGCCACGAGGCTGCCTCTGAAAACGTGCTGGTTAAACACAGGACGAGGCTTTGCTCGGGGGTCCAGAAGAACGGAGTCGCTGCTGTTCCAGCACTCCTGGCACAAAGGGAGGGCAAGTGCTCTTGAGCTGCCATTTGCCCAACCCGTCAGCCACAGAGAGTGCTGGATCTGTCACAGACCCCCATGTCCCCCGCTACCCTAAGCACGGGGCTCCTGAAGAAGGGAGCTGTGACCCGAAGACACCCCTTTCATCACCAGGTAAAAGAACCAGAAGAAACGGAAGCAGCTTGTGCAGAACAAAGCTGCTCAGCTGCCACCACGGCTCCTCTTTGCCCCAACAGGGTTTTTGAGAGAAGCAGCACCCCGGGGGCTAGAGGGTGAAACCTGTTCTGGACATGCAAGATAAGTCTTCAAAGACCCCGATGGGAGCTGGAATCTGAGACTCAGGGAACTAGCAAGGGGTTGTGTACGTGTGTCAAAATGGAGGCAGTTTGTAATGGCTTCAGGGGACTGCAGGTGGCTGGCAGAGGCGATTGGGCAGGGCTCCGCACTCCGTACAAACACTGGGAAGTTACAGGAGCCGGGCAGGACAAACCTGAAGGGATGCCAGTCAAATCGGAACTAAAAAAAGCTGTCAGTGTTACATGTGCTCATCAACTGCTGGACGAGAAGTGGAAAGACTCCACTCTCTGCAATCCCACCGCCCTCCTGCCCTTAGCGATACCTCGTACTGCTGCAGCAGCTGCACCATGGAGTCACCCACGAAGAGCACGTCAGGCTCCTTGTCCTTGCAGTCCAGGACAAACCTATTGTGCTGTTAAAAGAAAGCAGCAAGGTAAGCGGGGGCAGGGGGCTGACAGTGCCTCAGAACGGTGCCATTCCCTCCAACACCCTCCTCTGCCTTAACCCATGAGCTGCTGGAAGCTGCTCCCCACTGCACAAACCCCAGCAACCACCTCGGCTGCGGCAAGAGCAGCAGCTCAATTGCCCCACGCACTACACGTACGTAAGCTGTGAGCCTGCCAGGAGCCCATTAGATTCAACAATTACAGAGCAGAGAAATGAGCAGTTAGTCACTGCAGTGAGCATCCTCTGGCTACTGCTCCCTGCCCGGCAGGAAGCGCCGCAGCAGGGGACGGGCGCTCCAGACGCTTCACCTCTGCTGTTTGCAGCCCTGCCCTCCCTCGCCTAGGTGCACGCGGGAAAGCGCTGCCTTGCGCTTTGTTTAACAAAGGGGTTGGCAATTTCTCCCAGCCGATGGGCCAGCCGGAGGATTGTCTGAAACGGTTTCACAGGGCAGCTTCCAGGTCATGCAACGATGCCCCTTTCTGCCGGGCTTCATCATCCCGAGGCAGACGCCAATCAGCCGCCGGCCAGCTTCGGGGCAGCGGAGCTGGTGTGACCTCAGGGCCAGCAGCGTGACCAGTCGGGGCCCTGCAGCACTTGCCCCGCAGCTCCCCCGGCACAGAGGACTCGACCACAGCCCCTCCTGGCCTTACCTGCGACATCCACCTGTCGTCCCCCTGAATATCCTCAGCGGCGTGTGGAACCGCTGCTGGGTTTCGGTCCCCCCGGCTCATGCTGTTCCTGCGGAAAGAACGTGTCAGATGAGGCGCTTCCAGCAGCACCCGCAGCGTGCGGGCGGGGGAGGAGGGCTGCCTGGCCAGCAACCGCTGCGCGTCCCGACGTTCGCAAGGGACAAAGCAACCTGGACCCATCTCGGCATGTGAACACCACGTTATAAAAAACAAAAGCGCGTTTCAGAGGGTGTTCTGTGGAACGGCACCTCAGCTCTGCAAGGCTTTACTAACATAATAATAAACGCTAATAGCCTGAGGATTAGCCCCTATTAGCGTTGAGATATCCAGCTTACAATGACTGAGCGCCGCCGGTCAGGTGGATTATCTGGCTTGAGGGGACGGTGCATCACAGCAGGATTGATCCCGAAGGATCCGAATGGGGAAGAGCGGCGGCCAGCGGGCCAAGGCTGCCAGCTCCCGCCCGGGGCCAGAGCGGAGCCCAGCCCTTCCTCCCGCAGCCCCGGGCTGCCGTGACATCAGGGCAGCGGGCCGCAGCCCGGCTCCTCCCGTACGGTCAGAGACGTGCCC